AACAGAGCCCCAAAATTATGTTAACAAACAAAGCAATTGTTAAGTGAGTTGTACCCATTTTATGACTTTTTTTGCCACAGTCATTAAGCAAATCACTGCAGTTATTAAATGAATCATGTAGTTGTTAAGTGAATCTGGCTTCCCCATTGACTTTGTTTGTTGGAAAGCAGCTGGGAAAGCTACAAATGGTGATCACATGATCTTGAGGCAGAGCAACTTTCATAAATACATGCCAATTGCCAAGCACCTGCGTTTTGATCACATGAGCACGGGGATGCTGCAGCAGTCGTAAGTGTGAAAAAGAGAAGTCACTTTTTTCAATGCCATTTTAATTTCAAATGGTCACTAAACAAATGGTTTTAAGTTGAGGACTACTTGTCTGTGGAAATTCTCAGTCGTCCAGGTCATGGTTGTCCCAAAGGTGTTTTTTGTTTCGTTTCTCATCCAAGAAGCTTTGTCAGTTCAGGAACTGACAGAAGCTTCTTGGATGAGAAATGAAACATTTTCAAGGGAAAAAAACCAAGAAAGTCTAGTTGCCTTTTGAGAATTACTTGTATTCAAGTAGCCTCTTATAAATGAGAGAAAACTAAACTTTTTCTATTGTCTGGCTGTATTAAAACTTATTCCACTTCTTTTGAATTTTATTTTGAAAAAAAATTGAAAATTTATTATGAAAACTATTATGTAATTGCTAGATGTGTGAAAGAAAGAATGAGAACAAATCAATAATAGGATTATCAAGTAAACATACAGTAGGCCTAAGTGTCATCCAGTTCTGTTTATTGGAAAAATAAATGAGCTGAACAATATGATACTCTATATCCAGAGCAAGATATTACTGAATTTTCTATGCTCATTATAAAATAGAAGCTGGACTTTACAGTTTTATTACAAATAATGAAGTTTTAAAAACCACAAGACTTTTGGGGGCATGAAATGAGAATTGTTTTTACTTCAAGAGACTATTTTATAGATATGTAGTTACCTGTAGAACAGTTCACACATTTTTATTTTGCTATCCTGAAATAGTATTTTTTAATATCCATTTACAGTTATTTAAGGGTCCCTGCGTGCTTAAAACAGCATCTGAATATAGATACTTTCTCTCTCTCTCTCTTAAATAAAGCTACATCACAACTTGAATGTTCCATCAATGCAGAAGAATGAGACGGGAGTTATAGCTGGAACAATATGTAAAAATACTGCTCGTAAAAAAAAGCCTTTATTAACTGTCATCATCCCCAGAATATATGTTCAAATAAATGTTGTGTAATAACTAAATTTGAGATTAATAGGTCCCTTAAGAAATGGTGAAGTCATTCAGGATAGTCAGTGAAAAATAGGCTGCAAGAATGTAAAATGCACATATTGTCCTGCTTGCATGCTCTCTCTGGTGTCCTTCCCATTTGTCAATGTCGGCAAGCTCTGTTCTCATTAAAACATTCGTGCACAAAAGAAACTTAATTTTCTTAAGAGGAAAGGACACCTGATTCAATTTAGCATCTGTAGCCAATAACTTGAATATATATTCTTTTTCAGCCTGGAGTCAAACAAATAGTGATGAGTGGCAACTGAAATAAAATACACTGCTTTTTAACCAATCACCATTATTTTTGCAGCCTCTAAGGTATGCGCTTTGCAGACTAGAGGAAACACCCGCTTCTTAAAAAGTGCAGTTAACATTTAACTGGGATAATAATCCTTTTTATTCCAAAACAAGATTTTTCACAAGCTAAATAAGGCAACCATAGTTTTTAGACCTCTTCACATTATAATATGTAATAGATTTTACCTATCTAACACTAAAAGCATCTTGTATTCATATGCTTCCAAGGTAGTGGCCATCCAGTATGGTTTCAAGCTGTAAGATGTAAACATCTATGTACCACAAATACTTGTACTGTTTTGTTATGTTAATTTAATGCATATAATGCATTTATCCCATGCCTAAACCAGAGAAAGTAGTGATAAATAACAGTAACTGCAATTTTATTATAGTCAGAATATTCAGATACAGTCAAAAACTAGCCCAAGTAGGCATATTACAGGATTGCAGTCCATACTGCTTATAGTCATATCTTTTTGGTCAGTATAAATTTATTTGAATTTTGTGCTACTAATTATCTACCCTTTTATGCCTAGTATTAAATTTTATATCTAGAATTAATTTTTGTAAGTGTGGCATTTTTATCTTATTGCTAGAATTAGTATATGTGTAGTGCATATGCTTAACCTAAGAGAGAACTAATTTCAGGAACATTTTTAAGCATGTACTAGGAGAAAAAAGGTAAAGGTTACCCTACACAGTATTTTCAATTAAATGAAAACATTAATTCATGACTTGTATTGACCACTGAAAAATTAACAGTATTGATTTCTAAATATTCCAGAGAAGAATTACAATTCTATACTTTTCTTCCCAAAGTGATAGGTAAATATTATGCCAATTTGCATTAATAAATGATTTGCTACAAGTCTGTTAGTTCTAAGCCAGGATTTGGTTTTGTTTGCATGCAATCAAAAGCAGAAAAGTGGGATGAGTCTTCAGTTACTTTTGCCTGTTGTAATTGCTGAAGTACACAATATGAGGATTCAGAAATGGTTTTTTTTTTAGTTATTTTAGCTGTTCCCAATTTCCTCTTTCATTATTACTTGCCAGTGGTTTGGCAGACTTTATTCTGTGCATTTCATTTGACCATGTTTCCCAGGGAAAATGATGTGGAATAAAACCAAAATTCTGCTAAGGATAAAGAAAAGAAGGACACCAAGTAATATCAGAGTTTTTCTAATCCCTCTGATTTGAAATCTTAAATATCTTAAGGTTTGGGCCTTATAAGGCTTAGTACCTGTTACAAACCTGCTTTGTGACTTAGATTAACAGGAGAGGCTCTCTTTAAGATTCTCCAGCTGTGACTGATGCTGCAGCTCTGTCTGCTATGCAGGAGAAGGCCTACTTATTGTAGCACCTAAGCTAAGGAATGCTCTCCCTAGGAAGATGTATTTGGCTACCATTCATTGAATGGTCTGAAAGAAAATAGCAAAAAATACAGTAGTAGAGTACAAGCTACGTTTTTTGTGAAACATATACAATATAGCCAGAAATAGCTGTTGTTCAGTGGTTAACTGTTGTATTTCTTTCTATCTTTAAGCTACTTAAACAAAAAAAAATAAAAAGCCTCTTCAAAAAAACCATTATATATAATATATAACTAAGAATGTTCAGGAGAAGAAAATGGTGAGTGCCTAAAATATAACATGGTATCAAATACCTCTAGGTCTGTAATACACCCAAGAAATTTTGCTCTCAAGGGCCTCCTCATTTTGTCTATATTGTAAGAAATTCAGTCATAACATTCAGTCATCAATTCATGTTTAGCCCATATCCTTCCCATCATAATGTCAGGGATGACCATTTGAATACAGGTAGAATTCATGAATCCATTCTACAAGCACTGTAATGTGCCCTTCAAGGCAGTAGGATACCAGAAGAGATCTTGGGAGATGATTAGAAGAATAGGAACAGTCTTGTAAGAACAGGTGATTCTTCAGATACCTGAACTTAACTTAAATCACATTGCTTCATATGTCATAGATTATTTCCTCAAGGTTTATCAAGGTGTGGAATTGCAAGTTGAAATCCTAATGTTACATTCTGACTTGTTAAACCATATCATGTTTACTGATTGTTGCTAAGATAATTATTTGGACTGGTTCCTCCTCCTCGTGTTCAAAGGCAGATGCTGATAAAGTAGAGGTGTGAAAATATTTTGTTGTAATTTTATAACTGTCAACTGTGATATTTTATTTAGCTGTTTCTATTCAGAAGCTCTCCCCACAACATGGAATGCCATATGCCATTGTCCTTTTTAGCAAGCAACCAAACAAGGAAGCAAAGCAAAACAAATATTACAAGACTGTGCTTGCTTGTGTATGGGCCATTGAGCCCTGTGGTCCAGGGCTATCTTTTATTGATAAGGCCAGCCAAGGATGACTCTAACGAAATTATCAAAGCTTTGAATAAATTATGAACTTGAATAAGAAAGCTAAGCTCTCTGGAACCAAGCATCTCATTAGCCATTCATTTTCATTGCATTCTCATAATAGAGCAGTAGGTTCTACTCAGCGTAGCCTGTGTTTTGGACTGGGTTCAAACTTTCAAACTCTTTCAAAAATCTTTTACTCTATGGCTGGAAGATGTCCTTGGTGGTAACTTTGATTCTGCTTCTGTTTTCCATGTAAATGGCACGTTTTCTTTTCTCTGCCCCCCCCCCTTTTTATGCTGTACTTGTTTCTACATCATCGGACTGGATGCCATGGAAGAATTCCTTCCTTTATGGTAAACTTGAAGCTTTACAAGATTTAAGCATTTTCTGTTTCTCAGAATTTAGTAGTTTGTCAGAATGCTTTTCCCCAACATTATTTCTTGGATATTTAGGTAAGCTAAACATTTCTTCAAACTCAGTTGAGTCATTTATTTTTCTTTTTTCTTTTTGCTGGATTCATTATATTCTTTCTGGCCTTTGGAATTAAAGCACATAGATAAATTGTAATTTTACTGCAGTATATATTCAGCTAAATGCTTGTAGCAAAATGTAAATTCAGTATTCTACTTGAAATACACTAAAATATACTTAAATATATATTCTGTTCAGATAAGCATCGTACTATTAATTACATATTACATTATTTTTCCACTGACTTCCTTTTAAAAAATAAGTCTACCTGTGCTTTTCCTATAAGGAATTTTGTAAAGCATAAACATGGTAATTGATGTTTTTTTTAACAACTTCCTTTATAGATTTTTAAGCTGCCCAATGAGTATAAAAGTAAAATGCGAATTGTAAACATAAATAATAAAATAACTATTATCTGAAATGTGACTTTACATAGGGTATTTGCAATGATTTTAAATGGCAGTAGTTTACTAGAATATATAAATTAAGTTCAGTATTATACATGAAATAGCAAGATTATTATTGATGTTTCTTTCATTCTTTTAGGCAGCTGCTATATTTAACTCAGCCTTTGGAAGTTTTTTGGTAAGTAATATTACCTTCCAATATTGTTTCAAAGCCTTACTGTACATTTTTAACTATTACTGTATATTGAATTAAATTGCCATTATCATATATCATGCTTCTCTTTTAAATACATAAGCTTACATTTCTTTCCAGTATCTACAGCTTTCCAGAAAATTAGTACGTGAATAATCTTTGATCAGTATAATTTAATGATGCTTAAGTACGTGTTAATAGTCTTCTTAATGAGGAGACAATCCATTACTATTCAGACATTTGGGAGGCTAGTGTCAATATATTGATTTTCTAATGAGGTTTATCACACAGTCATTACTTTCTATTAAGATGCCATGGTTTTTTAAAGGAATATGGCTCAGATGATGAGAGAAGCAATGCTAATTCACCGGGTGATAAGTCACATGATTAGCATATTTTGCTGCCAGAGAACAAGCTTATTCTACATCCCAAGGGAAACTAATGGAAGGAGTAAAAATAACTGGGCCATTCAAAATATAATTTCTGAGTGTACATTTTAGCATCTCCAAGCACAATATACTGTAAAACATACAAAAAAGGAATCTCAGTAATAATTTCCCTTATTTAGTGCGTTATACAAATCAAATTCTGGGCATGGTTATATTATATTTTTATAATGTAAACTATTTAACTTCGCTATAGTCCAAATCTTTTTTATTAATGGTATTAGTAAATACATAATATAAAGATGCATGAAAATGCTCTTTATCGATCATGAATGCTTACTAATAGATTAAAATCGATGTACAAAAATGCTCTAAGGAATGTTACACAAGGTTGATAATTAGAAATGCGCTTGTATTAAGATGTGTTCTTGATGTTAAAATTTTAACTCAAAATATCTGGCATTTTTAAATTGTTCTCATTTTTTTTAGAATGTAAATTAACTTGGATACCCAGGATTGTTAGTTTTCTGTTCATCAAAGGCTGGTTTTGCAGGCATATCATGTGTAGAAAAGAACTATTTCTAGGACTGGGAAGATGGAGTAGCAATTACTGTGGGAATCTGAATCATTGCTTTAGGAGTAATGCAGTATAAATGGCTATATGTGAAGGGTCAAGATACCTTACAAGATCCCTTCCTGAGCTTCTTGCTGTTTGAGGGTTCCTCCAGCTTCTATTCATTTAGGGAGATTCAGGGAGAACTCAGGTATATGTGACTTCTATTACAACTATGAATTTGTCCCAAGTGCACATAAGCAGATGTACTTTGGATTTCCGTTTTCTCTTTAAAGAATTGATGTTTGATCTGAATACTGAGGACATTAGGCTAGATCCTTTGTCTTCCTGATCTAGATGAGATTGTGGCTATCACACTGAAGCTTGAAATGGTCTGTTAAAAGGGTTCCTCCCAGACACCTAATGGATCTCAGAGAACAGATGGTAATTTCCCCAAGTTATTGGTAGCAGTTCCACTGAGCATCTGGATAGAGTAATGGAACTGGGAAGCAATTTAAGCCTTTGGAATAATTGCTCCTGAGTAACTTCCTTTGATTGATACTTAGTAGCACTTAGTTTCTCCAAGAGAAGAAGTGACAGAAGTAATACCTGGAATGTGATAGAGGAACACAGAATTAGACTAAACTGGATTATTATTTAAGTTTGTACCATGGTGGTAAGAGTAGTGAAATAGTGAATTTTCTCTGCTTTTCTGTGATTTTATAGTGTCACTTCCATTTGGTGATTTTTTTTAAGATTGATTCTTCTGTATTAGGGAATGATGGGCAGGAAATCTCAATTCCTAATGCAAAATGTTGCTGATGAAGTCTCTTCTATTTACTCTCTGTTGGTAGAGCCATAAATGCTTGGGATAACATCTGGCAATATTATCTTTCAACTTGGGAAATGGATATTCCTTAGCATGACCTCTGCCATCTTCAAGCTTAATTCATGCCCCTGTCACTCCTTTAGGAGAATGACATGTGATCTGATAAACGTTTCTTTGAGGGAGAGAGGCATGATGTCCTGTGTTGAAGATCATAGTGGTGATCCTCTTTTCAGCAAGCCATCTCTGAACCTGTATGTTTTAAATATGAATTGTCCAGTGTCCAACTCCGGGAAGTTTATTGAGAACGTAGCAAGGAGTCGGCTACAGAAAGCTGGAGAGGGAGTGTTTTATCTGGCCTCCTTTCACTCTGCATTCAGGCTTAGATATAGAACGAAAATGGCATTGGTCACTCTAATGCACAAGTGTCAAACTTACTGTGTCACATGATGTGTCATGACATATTATGACTTTTTTTGCATTGCCGGAGCTGGGGTGGGCGCAGCCTCTGCATGATGCAACTGGCCCATGGGCTGTCAGTTTGACACCCCTGCTCTAATACATGAGCCTTGTCATGTCTTAAGTGGGATGAGTGCACTTATTCTTATTGCAGTAACGTATTTCTGTTAATCATGGTATCCTTATTGAACTACCTGAAAAGATTGGGGGTTGGAGCATCATGGTACAGTGGTTCTACTTCTTCCTTACTGGGTAGTTTCAATCAGTGGTAATAGGGAGGAGAAGCCAATCTGTTAAGAACTTTCTTATGGAATACCTATTCTTCCCCCTACTTTCTCACATACATGAAATTACTGATGGAAATCCATCAGTTCAGTGTGAAATATGAACAATATGCTGATTATAGACACCTATACAATTCACCCTAGGCAAAGCTGGACATGCTATGGAGATCTTGACCAAGTAGATGTAGCCTATTATAGTCAGACTGAACTGCTACAAGACAAAGTTGCTGTTGTTCAAACAGGATCCCTGTGTGCTTTGGGTGTAACTCTGGGTGGGATAACACCTTTCCTGAAGGAGCAGGTTTGCAGCTTGAGGGTACTCCTGGACACATGCTAAAGCTGAGTAGGCAGGTTGTGACAGAGGGAGGTTTGCCTAGCTTCTACTATTGTACTAATTTTGGCCCTATCTGAAGTGGGAGGCCCTGGCAATAGAGATTCACTCTCTTGTTTATTTATTTACTAAGGCTTATATGCTATTCCAATTAAAAGTGACTGTAGCAGCAAATACTTAATATAATAACAAGATTTAAATATTAAATATAACAACATAATGATAAAGTAATATAACAAACCCAACTATTAGAGACATCATTTCTTCAGGAGCACGCTTTCATCACATCATCCCCAAAATCCTTCCAGAAGAGCTGAGTTTTATTTATTTTCTGAATATTAGCAAGGATGGGGCCATCCTTAAGTGATATTTAGCAAAGTTGGATGGTTGGACAGTTTATCCACATGGTCCATGGTAGTGACACTCCCTAGAGTTAAGGCACAGTGTTAAGTAGCCTAGACTACTGCTATGCATTCTTCATGGGCTGTCTTTAAGATAACAGACTCTTGCATTCAATGTTTTTATATTGTGGCCATTATACTTTGGAACAGTCTCCTTCTTGAGGCCAAACTTTTGCTTTTGGAAGCTAATGAAAACAGTTCCAGAATGTATATGGCAAATAATAACTAGTAATATCCGCCTTTATAAATTGTATGGATCTGAAATATGAATGTATTGTATTATTCTAATTTTAATTTTGTTATTATTTTGAATGACTGAAAATTATGATAGCATATAAAATGGATACAGTATATCCATCCATTGCACATATAAATTGCACAGCTACTGTAAATTAATAACAATAATCTGGAAAAACTGATACAAGAAGTTCTTTTTGTTGGCTATGAAGGTTAAATCCTTAACCTAAGTAAGTATAAGTCTTTACATTCCCATATTTCATTAACATTTCAAGCATTCTGATTTATAGTTACTGAATTGTAGGCTAGACCTATAATTTGTCTGCTCATCTGGGAAAAAAGATTATTTGCCATCTTCCAGTAGAAAAAAATAGTATATTATTATTATACATCCCTATGAATAAAATCTAATGTATAACTGCCAGGTTAATTGTTACAGAAAAACTCAGTCTGATAACTGAGTTCTGTGTATTTACTACAGCCCTATAATATGTTTTAGTTCCATTAATGTTCAAATATCCTACTTAGCATCCAAGTCAGCAGCCATGAAGTTATCCATAAATTAGTCAATCCACAATCTTGACCTCATGGTCAAAACCTGGCATATTTCTAACCTATTAGAGATCAACCAGCTAGCATATTTTTTCAATTGCTAGCCGATACTTTTTCCATATATAGTTTTTGTACTGTTTATGCAACAAAGCCAAATAATTGAGATTCTCTTTCATCCATAGATTACATAATTGATCCCTTTTCTTTTTACCATTCTGTCTCTTAAACCATCAATTAATTTCTACCTTTTCTTTGAATCTATAACTACTCTGTAATTCAGGTATCCATTGTTTGCTCTTGACTTTTCTTTTTGGAGCCTAGCAAGTACAGGCTTATCCCAAAACTCCAAGATTAGTTTGACTTTTAAAACTATTCCTTTTCATTTTTTTATGTCACAATTCCTACTTCCTAGACTGAATTTTCAGAACCAACATTTTCTAAATCTATCTTTTTAAACTCTGTTTTATCTACCCACCCTTGAAGAAATAATTATTTGCGTTAGAAATCATATTAAATCTAAGATCTGATAGATGAGGCAAATTCCTAGTGGTAGAAAATGCACAGAAAGAGAATGGAATGATTGAAATAGTAAACTAGGTAGCTGAGATAGGGTTACTATACCAAAGAGGTGATAAAGAGTTGAATAGAAATATTGTGAGATGATAAGGAAAGGAGCCTCCAGAATCAAGTACAAAAATACCAAGATTTTTTAAAAAACAAAACTGAAGTAATTCAGACTGAGAGTTTGTTGGAACCTGTTGGAGTTGAATATAAAGTACTGTAGGCTTTTAAATATGAGAGCAATAGCATAAAAAGAAAATTCAATAGAAGCATACAAAGACCTTAGGAAATATTGTAAAACTAAGATATAGAAAAGTTTAGGTCACATGCTAAATAAGTTAGGATAAATTAGAGTAGATGTATAGATATGGAGTAAAATGTAAATAAATAAAAAG